AAGAAGATTTGTTTAAGGGCTAGCAGAGTGATAGGCGTGGATTTTTAAAGAAGATTTGTTTAAGGGCTAGCAGAGTCATAGGCGTGGATTTTTAAAGAAGATTTGTTTAAGGGCTAGCAGAGTGATAGGCGTGGATTTTTAAAGAAGATTTATTTAAGGGCTAGCAGAGTGATAGGCGTGGATTTTTAAAGAAGATTTGTTTAAGGGCTAGCAGAGTGATAGGCGTGGATTTTTAAAGAAGATTTGTTTAAGGGCTAGCAGAGTGATAGGCGTGGATTTTTAAAGAAGATTTGTTTAAGGGCTAGCAGAGTGATAGGCGTGGATTTTTAAAGAAGATTTGTTTAAGGGCTAGCAGAGTGATAGGCGTGGATTTTTAAAGAAGATTTGTTTAAGGGCTAGCAGAGTGATAGGCGTGGATTTTTAAAGAAGATGTGTTTAAGGGCTAGCAGAGTGATAGGCGTGGATTTTTAAAGAAGATTTGTTTAAGGGCTAGCAGAGTGATAGGCGTGGATTTTTAAAGAAGATTTGTTTAAGGGCTAGCAGAGTGATAGGCGTGGATTTTTAAAGAAGATTTGTTTAAGGGCTAGCAGAGTGATAGGCGTGGATTTTTAAAGAAGATTTGTTTAAGGGCTAGCAGAGTGATAGGCGTGGATTTTTTAAGAAGATTTGTTTAAGGGCTAGCAGAGTGATAGGCGTGGATTTTTAAAGAAGATTTGTTTAAGGGCTAGCAGAGTGATAGGCGTGGATTTTTAAAGAAGATTTTTTTAAGGGTGATAGGCTTGGATTTTTTAAAGAAGATTTTTTTAAGGGTGATAGGCGTGGATTTGTTAAAGAAGAGTTTTTTAAGGGTGATAGGCTTGGATTTTTTAAAGAAGATTTTTTAAAGGGTGATAGGCGTGGATTTGTTAAGGAAGATTTTTTTAAGGGTGATAGGCTTGGATTTTTTGAAGAAGATTTTTTTAAGGGTAATAGGCGTGGGTTTTTTTAAAGAAGATTTTTTAAGGGCTAGCAGAGTGATAGGCTTGGATGTTTTAAAGAAGATTCTTTTAAGGGCTAGCAAAGCCATAGGGTTGGATGTTTTAAAGAAGATTCTTTTAAGGGCTAGCAAAGCCATAGGGTTGGATTTTTAAATCAATATTTTTCTATGCATTAGCAGAGCCATAGCCGTGGATTTTTTAAACAATATTTTTCTATGGATTAGCAGATCCATAGGCGTGTAAAGGCAAATTGTGTATATCAGGCCATCCTTAAATATTAAGTATAAATAAAAAACAATTGAATTTTGTTTCTAAACGATTAAATATTGTTATTTACATCATACATTATTTTTTTTATATTATATTGGTCTCATGTTGTAAATTAGACTAGAAAATGAGATACATTTTATTATTTAATTAATTTATTTTAATATTTGTTTGTGGCAGATAAAATATTAAATTAATATGACTGTATAAAAAAAAAACAACAAAAATTTTCGCTACACATAATTTTTCATATAAAAAATGTCCTTACGAATAGTAGTAGAAAAAAAGTAAAAAAATGCTAAGTTTTGTTCCCCGTTTTAATATCAGAATATATTATTATTCAGATTATGTATACAAATTGGTCTCGCGTTCAATATTGGCATCAGAAGATAAATGAAAACAAAATTCTAAAATCAGTCTATAAAATAGCAGCATTAATTAATCTACTGCATTCCATCCTTCCCCCCTTCAAAATTTAGGCATTACTCTCATTTTGTTCATTCATATTAAGTATACTAGAAAATTTAAATGAAATTGTTTTGGACAGTTCAATTTTGTCACAATTCTCGGCCATATTTGCTTTGGCGGTTACATCCATATATGAACGTCCTCGTTTAACCGGTAAGGTGTACACCTCTCTTGATGGTGTTCCAAGTGATGATTTACGTAATGTTGCCATGGGGAATCTTAAATCATTTTCATAACGAGAATCAATGGTACGCGATTCATGTAATGGGCGTGGCATATCATATCCCGGCGGTGGTAGAAAACTACTCGAAAATGAAAATGTATCACGACTAGAACAATCTTGTATATCGTATAGGACTTTTGGTGGTTTCCACAAATGTTCCAATAGCTTTGATTCTTCGCCTTCCTCCATATTCGGGGGATTTTCTTCATTGAAGACATCATCCGAAGGGGTGTGAGATGTTGTTGGACTTTGGATTTCCTCTTCTTGACAATAGGTTGGATTCGAAAATGATTTGGTGGTGGTGCCCATTAATTTTTCAAATTCAGCTGCTAAATATTTGAAAGGAGGTCGGGCATTCGGATCATCCATCCAGCAGGATTGTACCAAGGAATAGCTAAGGAGAAAAAAATACATTTTGTTAAAGATGGTTGCGTGGTTTCATTATTTTTTTGCTTACATTTCATCGGAACAATTTTCAGGCTTTTCCATGCGATAACCACTCTTGAGTAAATGATAGAGGTTTTGTACTGGTATCCCTGGATATGGAGATGCACCCAATGTTATAAGTTCCCAGCACAAAACACCAAATGCCCAGACATCCGATTTGGATGTGTAAACATTATCCGCCAAAGATTCTGGAGCCATCCACTGTAAAGGAAAATATAATTTAGACAAGATTAGATAATTTATAATACCAGAGCAGATAGATTTGAGATAAAACTCTGTTAGTACTAAAAAATTATAGGCGTGGATTTTTTAAAGATTTTTTTTAATAACTAGCAGAGCAATAGGCGTGGATTTATTAAAGGATATGGAATTTTTAAAGAAGATTTTTTTAAGGCTAGTAGAGCAATAGGCGTGCTTTTTTTAAGGACTAGCAGAGCAGTAGGCGTGGATTGTTTAAAGAAGTTTTTTTAAGTGCTAGCAGAGCAATAGGCGTGGATTTTTTAAAGAAGATTATTTTAAGAGCTAGCAGAGCAATAGGCGTGGAATTTTTAAAGAAGTTTTTTAAGGGCTAGGAGAGCAATAGGCGTGGTATTTTTAAAGAAGATTTTTTTAAGGGCTAGGAGAGCAATAGGCATGGATTTATTAAAGACCTGTGGTCTCTATACAGACCAATAGGTCTTTGTAGAAACCGGTGGTCTCTATACAGACCAATTGGTCTTTGTAGAGACCTTTGGTCTCTATACAGACCAATTGGTCTTTGTAGAGACATTTGGTCTCTATACAGACCAATTGGTCTTTGTAGAGACATTTGGTCTCTATACAGACCAATTGGTTTTTGTAGAGACATTTGGTCTCTATACAGACCAATTGGTCTTTGTAGAGACATTTGGTCTCTATACAGACCAATTGGTCTTTGTAGAGACATTTGGTCTCTATACAGACCAATTGGTCTTTGTAGAGACCTTTGGTCTCTATACAGACCAATTGGTCTTTGTAGAGACCTTTGGTCTCTATACAGACCAATTGGTCTTTGTAGAGACCTTTGGTCTCTATACAGACCAATTGGTCTTTGTAGAGACCTTTGGTCTCTATGTATAGAGACCAAATTTCTCTACAAAGACCAATTGGTCTGGTCTGGAAGATATAAAAGTGTCCATCTATTTTAGGTGTTTTTTATGTCCATCTCATGGGGAAAGGTATACAAATTTCGAACCGGTCGAAGTTAGCGCCGCTTGTACTTGTAGCTACTTAATCTCACCTTAACTGGCACACGTTCCCTGGATCGCTTCAAATAGGCATCATCTTCATAGACATCACGAGTCAAACCGAAATCAGAAATTTTACAAATATGACCCTCGGCCAAGAGGACATTGCGGGCGGCCAGATCTCGATGCACTAACTAAAGAAGAACAAGAACAAAATTAATTTAAAAAAATCTTCAAGAAGGCAAATTGATTACCCACCTTAATATCCGTCAAATAAGCCATTCCCTTACATATTTGCCATGCAAATGATAGAATGCTGCGTACCGTCATTGGTTCCATGCCATCGGTAAATTCCGCACCACTATATTCCAATTTACGACACAGACGCAAATAACTACGCAATGCACCAAATTTGCAATATTCAATTATAATCAAGGGAGTGTCACCCTTAGTGCAGGCACCCAATAGTTTGATGACATTTGGATGAGAAACTTCTTGCAGCAATTGGAATTCGGATAACAAGGCCATATATTCTACCGAGTTGGCACCTTTTTTAAGCATTTTCACGGCCACAGTTGTAACACCTTTGCAATTGCCAATGTCTGTGGCATAGGCTTTCATTACCTTACCAAATTCTCCTTCACCCAGTATCGAATCGAGTAACAAATTTTCCCGAGGAAATTCCCATTTGGAATCGACCACAGAACTGTGGAAGGTGTAACTATTTTCCAATTGTACCAATGGCAGACCATCACCACTATTTCTACACTGTGATTCTTGGCATGGATCTAGTGGGGTCTTTTGTACATCACCGCGATTGCCCAGCGAGGACATATCTCTTGATTTTTTCCTCCTGCCCAATTGGGATATCAACAAACATGTGGTTAAGATAAGCAGGGTGGTGGGACACACTATGGCTATAATAATGCAGGTTTGATTACACTCAAACCCCTTGACATTTATAAGACTTTCAGCTTCCGCCGTGGCTGCAGGAGATCTGTTATTTTCTTCTTTCGCGGTGGCATAAGTGGTGGGTACATTGTCATCCATTGTTGTTGGGACCTCAGTCTTAACTTCCATTTTTTGTTGTTTCCTCTTTTTCGGTTTGGGTTCATCTTCATCAAGAGGGGTACAAGCACAATTACCATTATCATCACATGTACAGGTCCCGGATGCTGAAGATATACCCTTACGCTTGTCACTCACCGAGAGAGGGCTCAAGATTTTATTACCACCCGTACAATCTTGTGGACACACAAATGTGTTAATCTCTTCCAGCGGGTCACATATATTATCTGGACAAAATGTGGCATTCGGGACACATGAAGCATAATTCGAACTAAATCTTGCACTATTTGTACCACGCCAGATGCAACTGCCACCATTTGTGCCCAGACCACAAAACGATTGACATTGTTTGCGGTATTTAATTTGGGCACAGGTCTGACTCTTCGATTTCACTTTATGTTCGCAGGTTACATTATTCGGTCGACCCTCCATCAGATGGACATTGATGACAAACGATCGTTGATAGATGTCGTGCCAGGTTACATTGAGACTGGAAAGGCAAACAAATTGTAGAAATTAAAGAAAGAAGAGCTATCAGATATAAACAATTTGATTTCGATGTAACCTCCCCTAAAAACACTACGCTTCTGTTCTGATAAAGGTTTATTAGATTTTCTTTAAATCTGTTAAACATCCAGAAGAAGAAGTGGGTTCATATATCAAGGGTTATAATACGATTTAGAGGAGAAAATATCCAACATTATTTAGGTTAGCATTTAGTCCGATCGGTCCACCCTTCTATATTTTATTTCTTACTATTATAAAAAAAAGAAAAAAAATAAAAGCGCTCTCAGAGGTTCACAATGAAAGTGACTTGTACAGACTGAGTCATGTCTCATGTTATCAATTGGCGCCCAACAGCATCATGTTAATTTCCTACACATTGGGAACCTCTACTTATGACACTTGAATCATCTTCTAAGGACATCATTTTATACGACACAATACCCTTATTGTGACACGACTTTATGACTGAAGAAGTTTATCTATTGTCGATATCGGTCTGCAAGGTTCACCTTTGGTTTCTTCCTGGACAACCTGTTAATTTTCGAAGTATCGGAAATTTCTTCGAAAATTAATAGGCTCGGGCTTTGGAGTCTTCAACAAAATGTTCTTTAAAAGAACTTACGAACTTTTCACTGCCGTTAAATGAGACAGAAGTTCGATCAAGTGTTTTAGTCCCTTGTTCCGCTTATGTTCGCCAACAAATATTTAGAATGGCAAGTGTTAATTTGGATATGCGTATCACAGGTATATATCGATGGACTACTGATGATGTTCCGGAAAATATGTTTTCTGAAAGTCCGCTGACGTGTTGATGGATATGATAATAGGATGATGGTCTAACCCCAGTGAAATGTTGTCAGGTTACGTCATTCGTCAGGTCCGCCTACGTGGAGCAGAGCTGAACCAATATTTGTGAATTTTCTGAACTCTTGAACGATTGCTCTTCTAGGAATAAGAGCGATGATGTCCCGAAAATTATATAGTGTGCTATCGGAGCATCAGAAGGATTGAAGAGTTCTCTGAAGGAACGATCGGTGAACTCAGAGGTTATAAAATCGCAGATCTTTCGCACAATTTCCACTTTCGAACAGTGTGGCGATAATTTTTGGTTTCTTGACTCAAGATGTTGCAGCACTTCAAATATTCGAACCACTTTCAATTGACTAATGTCTCTAACTTTAGGCGCTTTAGGTCTCTAACTTTATGATTCCGCCTGCGGGGTGCAGGTTGCGGATAGTGGAAAGCCAAATATTATTCATTAAGTAGTTGTGAATATAAGTAACCAGTCGCGGACAATCAGGATGATGACAGGACTGACGAGGCGAGAATCTCACTTTCAAATATCCAATTCTCAGGCTTTAAGTTACTTACTAGGGGGTCCATCTTTCGGTCTAAAAACTGCTGATTCTTCTTCGGCGATTAGCATAATGGCTATCCTCGTGACTCTTCCAAATCAAGGTGAGTTTTCCTGGCCTCGAGAATAACATAGCCGTTGCTTACACTTTACTCGTTCCGACACCGATGTTGCAACACTTCAGATTTTCTAGCCATTTTTAATTTATTTTCAGCATTAGGTCTCTGACATTGGGCGCCAGTATGGGTCGTACAACGAACCTGGTATATTGATACGGAAATTCCTTTTTTTCTATCTGAATTTTAGAAGGATTAGCCAGTTCCCTGAGACGACAATTGGTGAAAGTACGACGAGGAAGCAAGCCACTGAAATGTCGGGTTGTCAGGTTGGGCCATTAGGATTAGTCAGAAGGATTAGCCAGTTCCCTGAGACGACAATTGGTAAAAGTACGACGAGGAAGGAAGCCACTGAAATGTCGGGTTGCCAGGTTGGGCCATTTGTCAGACCCTGTAAAATGATGGATATGCCATGTTTAATTGACTTACATCATTAGGTCTCTTACATTGGGCGCCAGTATGGATCATACGACGAACCTGATATATTGATTCCGATTTTTTCCTGTCTGAATATCAGATGGATTATCCAGTTCTCAGAAATGACTATTGGTGAATTATCTGAACTCTGTCAATTGTTTTCCCCATGGTTATGAAAAGGACAATGTTCGGAGGTTATGAAGTCAATGAATTTAAAAATAGAAACAGCATAGGACTCTGACTTTGGGGGCCAGTATGGTTCGTACTGAATATCGCAACGAAGCGAAGAACTCTTGTCAATTGGTTTCCCAGGGATATAAAAACTACGACGTTTGGAGGTTCTGAAGATAAAGGGTTTTTGATGAACTTGAAAACAGGAAGGTGGTTTGAACCCAGGGAAATCTCCAGCCAGGCTGGGCCATTCATTGGACTCTGTAACTCGATGGATATGTCACTTTTAATTGATTTCCAGTATTAGGTCTCTGACGTTGGTATATTAAGAAATTCCTTTTTCTATTTGAATGTTAGAAGGATTAGCCAGTTTTATGAAGCGACGGTTGGTGAAATTTCTGAACTCTTGTGAATTGGTTTCCCCATGGTTATTAAAAGTACGACATTTGGAGGTTATGAAGGTAGGGGTTTGTTGCCCAATATGATAATTGTTGGCATGTTAGGTCATTCGTCAGACCCTTTAACATGATGGATATACCACTTTTAATTAATTCTAATTGAACATTAGTTCTCTGACATTGGGCGCCATTATGGTTCTTAAGAGATCCTGGTACATTGATTGCGAAATTAATTGTTTTCTATATGAATATCAGAAAAGTTTGACCAGTACAGTTGATTTCTCCATAGTTATGATGAATACGATGTTTAGAGGTTATCAAGTCGGGTCTTCTGTTGATAGATATGATTATAGGAAGGTGGTTTGAAATAGTAACACGATGGATATGTCCGGAGAACTGTATCAATATTTCCCTGTCCTAATGGGTACGTCCAGGACGTGCTTATCCACCACTTTTCGACAACCTTGGTGAAATAACACCGTTTCTGTAGTTGCCCCACTGTTTTTTTTTACTTTTTGGATGGAAGTGTCAGTTGTTGGCCGAGTAAGACTCGAGTCGTTTTGGATCGTAGACCCCACTGTCGTGGAAAAGTGAACCTATAGTAGTTCTGACAGTGTTACTACTACAGATTCTATTCTGTTTCTCGTGTTGATTTTTGAAACTTTTAATTAACCATAAATGAAATCTATATGTATGTAGTCCCCTAGAGATCCTTAAATACTACTTACAAATAGATAGTTTCCGGTGCATATTTCAGTGCCACAATATCCTTAACATAAATAATACCCGCCGCCGAAGTTATACCAAATGCCTGGCTGCGATCCTCGATTAGCGTGAATTTCAGTTGGGGCAAACGTATAAGATTACGAAAATCTGCTGGTTGTGTTACCCTATACATCGGCTGGGCCATACGATAAACATAAACATCTTTGGGATAGGAGTTGGGTATGCTGCGTGTTAGGGTACGACTAAAACTACTATCCGAATTCAGGAGATCACTATCATCCGTATTGACAACATTCATTTTACGATTTTGTCGGGTACGCAAAGGCAAAGCCTGTGGATGATTGGCCTCGAGTATTAGTTCGGGATCGGTTTTTATGCATATATTCGCTGTGGCCTGTGGGGGAAAGGAAGGGATTTAAAAATGTATTTCCACTATATTTTTTTATGTTTTTCATACAGTATTTTTGGTGCTCGTCTCAATTGTCTCATCACTGGCCTGTAGGGCAAAACAATAGGATGGTTGATTGGCCACACCATTTCGGGCAAATCGTATTTCTGTAAGGAAAATTTGAAGTTCGGAAGATGTTAACCTTTAAGGTGGCATCAAGATCGTTTGCAACTTACGACAACTAATCATGGTATTCCTTTTTCTCGGATATTCCCCCTCATAGACATTACATACAGGCCGCACAATATCCAAGGTATCGTTTATAATTTTATAGGTCTGATAGACATTTGTTGCCACCGAATCCTTGTCCATGAATAAGATTTTCTCACCGATATTTTCATTCTGAAACAGGAACTCATTATTAGCGCATGATCACCTCATTATACCAATCCTAACTCACCGCATTAAAATATGCACTGTCCATAATGAAATTAAATACCTTCGAAGTATTCAGCAACACCGGGCCATTATCATTACGATCGATGACCTGGACGTTTATCAATTTACGAAATTGTTCCGTACGATTGCTGCTGATCTTCACCAAACAATTGATGTCCACCGAAAGATTTGTTTGCTGAGCCACATCCAACGATTCAAAATCCAAGGGTTGACGGGTTATTAGCAGATTATTCCTCAATTGAAATAAATTTGAGGCATTCAATAGCTGATATTTTAAATCCAAGTAGGGACACAGATACTTGGCACCCCGGGGATTAAGAGAACCCACTAAAATTGGTTTGAAATTGGAATTCCCACCACTCGAACTATTCGGTAAATCCTCCATAATAATATAATTTGCCGCTGACCAAAAACATATATTTTCCAAATCCTCACAATACGCCTCCTCCGTCATCGGATGCAGTTCAATGGACATTTGGGACAGGGTATTTGTCGTTGGCTTATATAAATAATTATTACGTATCTTATTTGCTTTTATTTCAAATTGACAAGATTCTTTGGGTGCTTTGTAGTCATCACGCAGGAAAACTTCTCCACTGGTTTCATTTATCCGCAAGAGATCATTTGCCTCCATGCTATAGGTGTAATCCATGGCAGGGGTATTTTCTGTTGTCGACAACACCTGAAATTGTCCAAGGGGAATTTTCGAGAATATGCTTTGCGATTTCTCATTGAATGGCATATTCAGTTCAATCGCGGTCATCGGAAAGTAGACATCAAATGCTGAAAAAAGAAGAAAAGGGGAAAATTAAATCATTTAAGCTAATAGGTATGGAACGCTTTTTAGGGTATACAAAACTATGGAAAATTCTAGGTGGTAGTTCACTTAAGGGGATCTCCCCCCCATTCTCGGGGTCAAAATATTTTTTGATTTAATTCGATTCAACATTAATTCAAGAATGTCCCTACAAAATTTCAAGAGAAAATCTCAAGACCTCTTGAAAATATAGCCGATTTATTGTGTCAGCATCAAGTGGCGGCTAAAGGGCTTCTCAAACTTTAAACACGGGCACGATAACTCAAAACCTAATAACCCAATCGATTCCAAATTTTTACACGTTTCTCTGTGAGTGTATAGCTATCGTATGAACTAGGATAAAGCCAATCGGTGAAGATCTTCCTTATTTTTTAACTTGGGTTTTGATAAAAAATCGGCGATTTTCCAAAAATATTTTTTCAAAGGTCCGCCATTTTGTTAATTTTAGAGCGAAGTCAATAATCCTAGTTCATACGAGAGCCAGACATGTACTCTTTCTAACACCGTTGGAATTTTCGGATTCCGATGTTCCAGTGAGGAGTTATCATGCCCGTCATCAAAAATAAGGACTTTTCCTTAATTACAAAAAAACAACAACACAACAATAACAAAAAATTTTTGTAAATTAAAATTGAAAAATTAAAATTGAGAATGAATGGGGTTCTCTTAATGCGAATCTATAGAGCCCTGAAAATTTTTGTTTTTTTTATTTGTTTATTTATTTTTTTTTTTTTTTGAAAGAAGTGAATAAAAATTTCACACAGCTAGACGAAAAACTTCAAATACGATCTGGAAGAAAATCAATTAGAGAAACGTCACCTTAATTGTGAATAAAGTGGGTAAAAATCAGAAAGAGATTTTCACAAAGCTAGCCGCAAAAATTGCTATTAGGTCGGAACGTTTAATGAATCGTCCAAAGAATATTCAATGATAATGGACCCTTCGTACAAGCAAAAAATTCCGTAAGCTTCCTTTGGAATTCAAAGTCTACGTTAATAAGGAAATCGACTTCTGGTAAAGATTACAGACGAATAGATAGATGTCAGATGCATTCAGAGAGAAGTGGGTAAAACCCCCCAAAAGAGTTTGTCACACAAAAATCCGAAAGATTAATTGGAGAGATGTCAGCTTCATTCTGAATAAAGATAATGTCACAAAGCTATCCGAAAATTTGCTATAAGGTCAGAAACGGTCCACGAACTATCCAAAGAACATTCAATGATATGGATTCCATTGTGGAATCCCTAGAAAAAGAACCCTACACCCAAAAAAGTCCGTAAGCTTCGTTTGGAATTTGGTCAAAAAACCTACATCGATAAGGATTCCATTCCATACGAATATATATATATATAGCGATCATTGTATTTTCTACCAAGACAGACATCTGCAAAATCCTGCATCGGAAATAGAGGAACGAACTAGTTCAAAGGATCCATTTCGCAAAAGGAACGACCGGCATTAGTTCCGGTTCTTTTGTTTATGAACAGTTGTTATGAACAATTCTGCAAAAGAAAACTCGGTACTGGATCCGGTTCTTTCGTTTATGTAATTCCCCTTGGAGAAGCAGTGATGCAAATGTAAGAAGTGAGTCCGTATTCAATATTAGGGTAGGCAGAATTTGGAATATTCTGGAATAGTTCCAGAATGAACTAGTTCACTAATAAACGTTGACCTAAAAGGAAAACTATGGAAGTGCATGACTAATTTCTTTAACCGAGCGAATCGAAGAAAATCGAAATGCATAAGGAAGGATATTGCCTACTCTACTTGAGATATTGTATGGAAAACAGACCCTGAATCTGTACTTTTGTACGGGGGTTTTAATTACGGCCAGAAGTAATCGAAATACCAAAATACAGATGCGCAGGTTGGAAAATAGGCCTAAAATCAAATTCAACGTAAGTTTTTTGTGGATTTACTTCGAAGTGAAAGGTCGCCTATTTCTTGGGCAAAATTGATCATATGACTACTGTTCCGCTTGAGCAATGTAGGACGTCTACTTCTGTGTTTTACACCACAATTTGTTTCGAAAAAAAAGGACCAAGTGAAGACGAATCATTGGGCGCCATTACAATGCGAGCCGATATGACTTTTTGTCCGGCGAAAACGTGGAATTAATATGTCCTATTGCTTATTCTCATTTCTGCATATCAAGAAAAATGTGAGATCAACGATTTTCGTCTCCAGATGATGCCGTTAAAGCGTACTTATAACTACATTATTTTGAATGTACGTCGACGTAAGAGGGAATAGTGGATCTATACAATACAATATTATATAATAGTTTATTATCCCGTTCATCCATATGGTTGAAGGATATTAAAGAAATAAACGTGAACTTCTTTCTCAAACAAATGCTTTCTATATAAGTTCTTGTGAGTCATCCAGGAAACACAAACAAAACTTCCATTCTTATTAAAGTAAAAAAAAACAACTACACCACTATGTTTGGCGCCCAATTGACGGCTGTATGGTCATATAAGAATGCCATCTTTTTTATTCATCCTTTCTTTTCTTTTTTAAATTTTATTCTGTTCCACTTTTCCCGCAAAAACACACATTTGAAGTTCTAATCGAGTACAGGAAATAACTTCACGATATTCTAACATAAATGGCACTCCATTACATTTTAATAGAGTACGAATGTATGTATGTATTCTTCGCTGGGAGTTGATAGGAATGTCAGCTGGGAATGGGAAAATGGGCATGAATGAATAGAGCAGAATGTCAATGTAAAAAACAATGAAGTTGACATGAATTTCATAATTGAATATCTTACTCAAATGGGCCAAGTTTTAACCACAATTTGTGATGGAGCATCGCATTCACCCACTTCAAATAGAATGCAATTGTGGAAAAGTATTACCACATATTAATAATGTGATAATTTGTTATGTGCATAAAAATGATTTATGCAGATTCTTATTAAAAAACTATCTGTGGTCCTAAGATGTCAGTAGGTTCAAAGATTACAATTTAAATAAAACAACGATTTCGAGCAGTGAGTGTAGATTATCAAGCGTAAGGAACCCATGTCGGAAGTTTGGTCCCATCCTTTCAAAAGATATTTAATCACAGATTCGTATCCCCCATGTATATGGGGTAATTTTTATCGATTACTTAAAAAAGAACGAATATATATATACAGGGTGAGATAGAAAAATGTCGGAAATAGCATCAAATTTTAGAATATGTTTAGATTTGTTTGAATTGGACACCTTTGGCACAAATTTTGGCTTTCAAACGGCCTATGGTCCATTCCCGGCGAAGCGCTTGCTTGAGGTGATCGACACTTTGGTATTTTTTCGCCAACCTTGCTTTCCAAAATACTCCAGACACATTAGTCCAACGGATTGGTATCGGGTGATTTTGTCGGCCATAGTGCGCTGGAAATGAAGCGAGGAACCTCATTTTGTAACTATTCTTGGGTGGCGCGTGCTGAGTCCTGTTGGAATGTCCAAGATCTGCGACCAAAATGTTTGCGTTCCAAGGCCATTCAGAATATTTTCGCGATAATATTCAGCATTTATTCTGATGCCACAGTCGATTAATACGAGCGGAGAGCAACCATCGGCTGTTATGGCGCCCACACCATTACCATGACCAGCGCTTGAGTTCTGGTGGCCAACCGAAGGTGCACATTTTAAGCGGACCTCTTTGACAAGTAAAAACGACCACTTTGTTTGTTTACAAACTGCTGGACAAGGAATGTTTTCTCATCGGAGAAAACCCAAATTCGTCAGTTCACCACTTTCGGCCAAGCGAAGCAACTCTTTAGCTCTTTTGATCACGGTAAGAAGCGATGGTACGAGACACAAAAGATTTATTCACATTTAAATGCTGGAGTTCTCTAACGATAGCCACTTGTGGTTTTACAGTCCAATATAAAGAAATCACACTATCACGCTTGAATTCCATCACCAATAACTTTTTTTTTTGAAAATTCTCATCAAAATGCTTTTGTACGCTTGTAAACAATATAATGAACTGTCACTGGAACAATTTTAACAGCTGTCGGACGAGTGGCTTATAAATGACAGCACCCTGTATTTTAGACTGATTTTATGTAAATTTTTCACCAAATACTCAAAGTTTGTCCGATTGCAACGAAATTTTGCATAACATATCTAATTGAGTTTAAAATGAAGTGTATTAAGTTTCGTTTAATTCGATACAGATTTAGACGTAGCTCTTATGTTTGTTCGTTCGATTTTATCAAATTATGCCCTTAATACCTAAAGTTTTTTGTTTCAGATGAAGTCTGGGAAAGCAAGCTTTGCTGCTGCATATCGAATGGCGCATGTAAAATTTTCATCGAATCGGTAAAGATTTAAATGCGAGTCGTTTATTTTGAAAGCGGTTTAAGTCCATTTTATGTGCTGATACAAATTTTGGTTTGCTAGAAAAGATTACAGAACATATTCCGTTATAAATTCTATCATGTTTAAGGACACGAAGTCACAAACAAAACTACTACCACTTAATAATATTTTTGTAACAAATCAAATACAAATACTGTCAATATAAGAAAAAATGGACTTAAACCACTTTCAAAATAAACGACTCATATGGCTCTCATACAAAGTTTTGCTCGATTTCATATAAATGGTACACCATAGATCGCAAGTCTGTCCGATTGACATGGAATTTGCATAGATTTCGGAATGACATGTTTATGGTTAAATTTAAATTGATAAACATATAGATTAAATTGATTGACATATAGATCACATATTTAATTTTGTCCGATTCCATGTGAAAGGCCTTCTAAAAATGCTATGTATGTTCTATTGACTGGATATTGTACGTATGTACATTTCTGTATGTATCTAAAGTGGTAAAGGATATAATATAGTCGGTCTTGAGATTCGTATATTATTGTGAAGGAGATTCCAGAAGGAGTCGGCCATTATTTTTTCTTTTCGAACTTGATCTAATTATGAAGAGAATATTACGATTTGTGTATAGTTAGGATAAAATCGGGGTTTCAATTATATTTTGGATAACAAAATTGTCTTGAAGAGAAAAATGAAATCTGAAGATGAAATAATAAACCAAATCTTAGCCCAGTTTCGTAACTTTAATTTAAACAACATTTATGATTTCAATTTTTCCCATTCCAACATTTTACCCTTCTGAATATTGCATTAAATCAAAATTCCTATTTATCGTCATTAAAGAAAAAATGCCAAGACAAGCAAGTCTTTCCTAAACGAATACATATAATAACAATTATGACCATTTTCATTTTCAACCCTCAATCCCTTTCACGCCTTCTTAATATCTCATCTTACATTTTAGCGGGGGTTAAGGATAATAACAAACAGCTACCCCCTTTTTAGTTTGTCATCCATTATAGTTTCACAGTTATTATGGAAGTTAACAATTTGTCGAGTAGAGTGATAATTGTATTTCATACTCGAAGGATTTCTTAATTTAATTGACATTTAATAATAATTGAAACAAAAAAACTCGTTCGTTATAATTAAATGTTTGTTGCAATTAAATCGAAAGCTTTAATATCAGGCGTAATGAAATTTAAGAAAGGGGGGGGGGTAATATTGTGACATTTTTAAATGTAAATGGGGTTCGATATTTATGTGCACATGTGCCAAGTAAGACTAGCATAACTGGTGTTTTTTGTTGCTTCGATTATTCGGTGGAGGGTTCAATTGATTTGTCACTGGTTGTTACAATAGCAACAAGTCTTGTACAGGGTGAGATGAAAAAACTGCAACCAACTTCAGACTGCTGTCATTTCTAAGCCATTCGTCCGACAGCAGTTAAAATTTTTCCAGTTACAGCTTATTATATTGTTTACCAGTGTACAAAAGCATTTTGGTGAGAATTTGCAATTTTCCAGAAAAAAAATTATTCGTGATGGAATTCAAGCGTGATAGAAGTCTTGTACAGGGTGAGATGAAAAAACTGCAAACAAATTCAGACTGCTGTCATTTCTAAGCCATTCGTCCGACAGCAGTTAACATTTTTCCAGTTACAGCTTTTTATATTGTTTACCAGTGTACAAAAGCATTTTGGTGAGCATTTGCAATTTTCCAAAAAAAAAATTATTCGTGATGGAATTCAAGCGTGATAGAGTGAATTCTTTATATTTGGCTGGAAAGCCACAAGTGGCTATCGTTAGAGCACTCCAGCATTAAAATGTGAATAAATCTTTTTTGTCTCGTACCATCGCTCGTTACCGTGATACTGGTAGCGTAAACCGACGTCAAGGAAATAGACGGAAGAAAATAGCAACATCAGCAGAAATGGTTCGAAACATAAAGAAGCGGCTTGATCGAAACCCGCGTCGCAGTGGCCAAAAATTGCTCGTGAACTGAATATATCACAATATTCCATTCGGCAAATATTGAAAAATAAGCTCGGTTTAAAGCCATTGATATTCCAAAAAGTGCAAGAACTTACACCGCAACAGATAGAAAATAGACTCAAAAGAGCCAAAGAGTTGCTTCGCTTGACCGAAAGTGGTGAACAGACGAATGTTTTCTCATCGGAGAAAAGCATAGGGATACATAGTCGAGCGCAAAAGTCGACTTTTAGACTTTTCCATTTTTTCCTCAGACCAAAAAGTAGATTTGTAGACTTTTCGATTTTTGCTTTGGATAAAAAGTTGACTTTTCGATCTTTCGATTTTGCAAAACCTGTTCAAAATTGATTTTCGGCCATTACCGACTAACAAATCGAGTAAAAATTAAATTTGTGATATGAATTGTTGTTAACAGATAAAATAAACTTCTGGATTTGTGTAATTTTTGGACAATATGGGCTATAAACCAAAATTGAAAGTCTATCTTGAAAAGTCGACTTTGTGACAACCTCAGAGATCAAATGTCGATATCGACTTTGACAGTTTTCAGTACAAGAAGTGGGTTAATCGCTAAGTCGATTTACTTATCCCTAGTCCAGCAGTTTGTAAACAAACAAAATGATCCTCGTGCTTACTTGGCAAAGAGGTCAACTGAAAATGTGCACCTTTGGTTGGCCACCAGAACTCAAGCGCCGGCCATGGTGATGGTGTGGGTAGCCATAACAGCCGATGGTCGCTCTCCGCTCGTATTATTCAACCGTGGCATCAGAATAAATGCTGAATATTTTTGTGAAAATATTCTGGAGGGTGTATTAAAGCCTTGGATACGCAAACATTTTGACCGCAGACCTTGGAAATTCCAATGGGACTCAGCACCATCGCACTCAGCACGCGCCACCCAAGAATGGTTAGACAATGAGGTTTCTCGTTTCATTTCCAGCGCACAATGGCCACCAAAATCTCCGAATACCAATCCGATGAACTATTGTGTCTGGAGAATTTTGGAAAGCAAGATTGGCACTAAAAAAATACCAAAGTGTCGATCACCACAAGCATGCGATTCGTCGGGAATGGACCAAAATACCTCAGAGCAACATTCGGGCAGCGTGTGACGCTTTCATTGGCCGTTTGGAGACCATAATTCGCGCCAAAAGCGATCAATTCGAACAAATCTAAACTTATTTTAAAATTTGATGCTATTTCCGACATTTTTTGCTTTCATTCAATAAAATTTGGAAAAAATTGTAAAAATTATGGCGTTTGACTTTGTGGCAGTTTTGTTTTATCTCACCCTGTAATTGTATTCCAACAATCATTTCAAACACGACTAATGTATTTTCTTTCAAAAAATATCAAAAATATCATCTACCAAAAATAAATATATTATAAGTTTTCGTAAAATGTCGAAGGGGACACCTTTGAGTATGCCCAGTAAAAATCGGAATTGGTAATTTTTGGCTTCGATTTCTCTAAATTTCAACCATAACCATATTAATTTTTTTTATATCTCTTTATGCTTTAATAAGTTTTGATCTGATTTTTTTTAATTTTCGAAAAATGCATTGCTGATATGTATGAATAAAATATACATATTTTGAATATAATCAATGTAAAAAAAACAATGACTTCATCCATTAAACATATTTAAATCGAACTTAAAGTATGTCATATGTATATTCAGTGCAAAGGTCACATTTTCACCTATTAGTTAATATTTATAAAAAAAAATGAAAATACTAATAAAAGTATTCAATGAAAGGTGCCTCCCCCTTCCCCTATAGCAGAAAATTATTTAGAAATTATTATATTAGAAAGTTAAGTTGAACCGAGCAGTATAGTCAGACGAGGCCGATCATATGATACCCTACTCAACTACCATTGCGCTCTAAATTTCTGTTCATCTATATTCCCAGACTGGGTAATATTTTGCGATATTTGCACTCTCTTGATCGATTAGAGGTCACCAGCTCCTCTGTGGCATCTTTTCCGAAACATGTTTTCCCGGAATAAAAAAAATGTTCCATACGATTCAAATTTTGTTATTTCGAAATTTTAAAATTGTTCACACAAAAGTCTGGGTTCATTTTATCCGCTAAATATTGATCTTGATCAAAAGAGTGATATGCTTATTTCCCTGGCCAGACCATTTTCTCTGTGTAAAATTTCGTGATATTTGAGTATTAATTTTGGCCTCTTGAGCTTTCTAGTCTCTCTAGAGCCCACAATTATGATTCGAATATCACAAACAAAAATAAGGTAATAGGGGTCTTCTTAGGCCAGAACCTATCATGAATGCAAAATTTCGTGACGATTGCTCCATAGCTGTGGCCTGTATCATTATACCCTTCACCACACTGTGGTACATGTGTTACCAGCCGAACTATTCAAGTCTGCTGGTCTGAGGCTTGTCAGGAGCATGCACTAGCTGATTAGTAAAATTTGGCTAGAGGAATAGATGCCCAATGATTGGAACCTCAGCATCCTGTGTCCCGTGCACAAAAAAGGACACAAGACGATATGTATCAACTATAGAGGAATTAGTCTTCTTCCCATCGCATATAAAGTGTTATCCAGTGTGCTGTGTGAACGTATGAAGCCAATGGTCAATGACATTATTGGACCCTCACAATGCGGCTTCAGACCTGGCAAATCTACCACTGACCAGATTTTCACTCTGCGCCAAATCCTGGAAAAGACCCACGAAAAACACATCGACACATACCACCTATTCGTCGATTATAAAGCCGCATTCGACAGCCCAATTCGTTCAGAGGCTTTTAAAGCCATGTCTAAGTTCGACATACCTGCAAAATTAATACGGCTATGCAGAATAACTTTAAGTGGCACAGAGCCAGCAGTTATATTCGGAAAGGACATATCGGGACCCTTCAATACCGAACGAGGATTGAGACAAGGTGACAGTTTGTCGAGTGATCATTTTAACATCATACAAGACGCAAAGGTAAACAGAAATGGTACCCTGTACACCAAATAACACATGTTACTCGCCTACGCCGATGACATCGACATAATGGGTCGAACATTGCGAGCGGTAACAGCCACCTTTGAACAAATTGAGAAGGAGTCTGCCAAAGTGGGTATGGCAGTAAACGGCGAGAAGACCAACTGATGGTATCAACGCGCAAGTCGTCCAGTAGATTCGGACCAACTGTGGAACTTGAGAACTACAGCTTCGAGTTAGATAAAAATGTTATATTCCTTGGTACCACCATAAATACAACGAATGAAATCAGTTTTGAAATTCGGAGAAGGATTGTGGTGGCCAACAGACTTGCCTTTTTTAGGTTCGGCTTATGGAACAACCGTTCTGTAACAAGACAGTAAGTAACACTGTGGTACAGGTTACAGGTTCCAAACTATGGTACATTAGTTTGTAACATGCTTTTGCACGAAACGAGATAGACACAAATTTCCTTTTGCGAATATGCATAGAATCACTTTCTGAGTCGATTTTTGCATGCCCGTCCGTATGTCTGTCCGTCTGTTGGTGTTAAATTGTCAACAAAGTACAGGTCTAATTTATGATCCAAATTGGATGAAATTTGGCGCAGCTCATTTATTTGGCCCAAGGATGAAACCTATTGAAATTGAGAAAAATCGATTTAGATATGTAAATGGTGCCCCAAAGCCCCTACATTTCTTTCGATTTGCACGAAATTTGGCATAGCGTACTGAACTGAGGCTGGGATGATGTGTGCTGAGTTTCATGAAAATCGGTTCAGTTTTAGATATAACTCCCATATATATTTTCGTCTGATTTAAGGTAAATGGTGCACCAAAGCCCCTACATTTCTTTCGATTTGCATACAACATTGTTGTGTAGAGTATAAATAGTTTTTTTTCAGAATAAATAAATTCAAATTAAAATTCAATATTTATATTTCATAAATCTGTATAGTGATGTATAAAATGTAAATATTGAATATTTGTTTATTCTAAAAAAAACTATTTTGTCATAACTTTCTATTATAATTTTGTTGACCCCATCTAACCACCCGGCAACATAATTTGTCTTGATTAAAATAATCATGTAAATTAATTTGTTACTTAACATAAAATTCTACACATATAGGGATCGGAAGTGGTTTAACCACTTATCTATGACAACAATTTTTTTTAAATATTAACAACTCAATAATAACAACAAATATAGCATTATGTTTATTTATAATGATATCAGAACGAAAAAAGATAGTTGAATATCTTGTTCAGAATCTCATCGATATTAAATTATCAATTAGTATAGTTGATTGATTTGAAGGCATGTGTGTTTTATTAAAATACTAATAATTCTAATTTTCATCATACGTATCGTAATTTTTAAACTAAATATATTGATACTACACCTAAGTCTGTTTTTACACGGTAGATTGGTTGCAGAAGAAGCCGTGTAAAAAAGACATTGATCTTATACATAAAGGGAATTCCCCTAAATTAGTGCTATTCACATATGCTTTGACCAGTAAAAATTGTTTGTACGCGCTAAATATTTAAGCTAGTGTTCGCAAACTCTCGATACTATCGATGGTTACAGATTTTTTTCTTTCATAAATACTTTTTTGCGATATGAACATACTTCGCAAAAATTCAATTTGGCAAAAAAAAATTAAGTACATAAAATTTCAAATCGTGCTAAATGGAATAAAATCGTGTAAAAAAATTTAAAATATTAAATTTTCAAACCGTGTTATATCAAAACCGTGTACAAAAAGACCGTGTAAAAACAGACTTAGGTGTATACGAGTATGTTATTTGAATAAAACTAAATAATATAAGGGTGGATTTTTATATCCTCCTCTAAAAGATAGGTTTAATATTTTCAATTTCCAAACGTCATTGCCACTGGTCATACATATATTTGGACACTGATATTCTTAGAACCACAGTGAGAGCGTGTATTGTTTAAATATCCACATAAAGGTCTATGTTGTGACATAGCTTCTATCTTTTGTCTGTCTTTTGTCATCCTCGCCCAGTTTTACTACCTGAGTGTCTGGAATTTTGTATTTGGGAATTACTATCACAGCTGTAAACGATAATGAAAATATTTTGATGATCCATTATGATTGCCTGAACTGCTACCATATCCTATGCCTATTCGGATTCCGGATCTACTAGCAGATCCAGACTCATGGCCACTACTCATACCAGAGCCGCTACCGAAGGCATAACCAGAGTCTGAGCATGTTTCCGATCATGTTCGGTCAACACCGTTTCCACTGACAGATCTATAGCCACCTGCAATGCCTAATCCCCACTGAACCACTGGCAAAACATCTGTCTATTCCATAACCAGAGTCTGAGTCACATTCATATCCTATACCAATTTCAAAACTACATGATTACGCGACCGAATTCAAAACTACAGCCAAAGTAGTTACATGATCAAATTTTAATATCAGGACAACATATAGGATCTGTTGTGACCACAACTGTCTATCCTATTCCAACAACAAAACCTGATCCTATGCCTATTCATTCCTCGGATCCAGTGCCAGAGCTAGATCCATGGTCACTACTTATACCAGAGCCACTATCAACAACATAATCAGAGCCTGATCGGGTATCTGATCCGGTCAACACCGGTCCCACTGACAGATCTATAGCCATCTGCAATGCCTAATCGCCACAGAACCACTGGCAAAACAGCTGCCGATTCCATAAACCGAGTCTGAGTTGCATTCAGATCATATACAAATTTCAGAACCACTACCAAATTCATGATCACTACCAATACCAAAGGAGCGAGCGCATCCAAAACTACAGCCAGAGCAGTTACATGATCAATTTTTACCATCAGAACTACTGATAGGATCTATGGTGGCCACAACTGTCTATCCTATTCCAACTGCCAGAGCTAGATTCATGGTCACTACTTATACCAGAGCCACTATCAAAAGCATAACCAGAGCCTGATCAGGTATCCTATCAGGTCAGGTCAACACCGGCCCCACTGACAGATCTATTGCCACCTGCAACGCCTAATCACAACTGAACCCCTGTCAGAACACCTGCCGAATCCATAAGCAGAGTCCGAGTCACATTCATATCCTATGCCAACTCCGGAACCACTACGAGATCCATGATCCAGAAGCGTGACCAAATCCAAAACTACTGCCAGAACAGTTACATGATCAAAATTTAAAATCAGGACAACTGATAGGATCTGTTGTGACCACAACTGAATGTCCTATTTCAATACTAAAATCCCTGCCAGAGCTGCTACCTGATCAATAAACTGAGCCTGGGTCGTACCCAGTTCTCATGCCA